TCGGTACCATGGAGCTGTCAAATGTTCATGTATGCAGATACTCAGGTACGTGCAAGTCTCACCTGTGTATGGATGGTTGCAATCGCTGCACCTCAGCGTTGTGCTAGAGAAAGGACTCCATTACGACTGATAGGCTCTGTTACTTAAATAATATTTTATAACCTGACTCATGACTTGAAGAAGACCGGAAATTTCATTCTGATTGACAAAGGTTCTATCGTTTCTGAAGCATACGGGAGAAGTAGAATATATATTGCGGATTTACTTATCGGCGGTTTGGGTTAGTTAAAACTGAGAAGCAACACTTCTCTGCTAAATACATCAATACAGCAATCACTTCTGCCGAAAGCGATGTGATTCTGATCTGCAAGGAACCGGAACCACTAGTTGAGCTTCATGAAGTTGCCTCCACAATCCCAAAGGGAATGTGGCGTCATAATGTAGATGGGCATAGTGAAACGCCGCAGCATTTTGACAAGTTTTTTCGACAGTACCCTTATGAACCGCCAGAAGATAGTAACAACCGTCAGTGTTACTGATATTGTCCTTGGTCCTCGTTTAGAATGCAGCCAATTTATTTAAGGGCGTGCATAACTCCAAAACATGAACTTTGAAAGAACGTGAAAACACATTCTACTTTTAAGAAAAATGGCATCGTTGAGGAAAATCAGATGCTTCAAGCAGGGAAAATTTCGTGACCATTCTGTCAGGAAAAGGTTAACTGTCGAACTTTCAGTAGCAGACAGAACAGACTTGCACCAGACAAAGTGGCATTGGTGAATAAAGAAAATGACAAGACAACAAGCAGATTCGCAACAAATGTTCTGACAGTGCATGTTGTAGACTGCGCAGAAATACGACTATAAATCTAATCATCAATTGGCGGCATGAAATAGGCAACGAAGAAGCAGAGGCCCTGAAAATTTTGTTAAGAACTAAAGAACTTGTCTACGGCGTATAGGCATGAATTGTTGTTATTCGCTGTGTATTGATCCTACCACCTTCTTGAAACTGGAATGGATTGATTGAAAGCGTTGCTTTGCAGAGCCAACTTTAAATGTCTTTGTATTACTCGTTGTATTGGATTTTCTGCTTTGCTGTTTCCTCCTTAGGTACTGACAAAAGATATTCAAATGGATTACAGTTTTTATGTGAAATTCTCTATTCTTCGTGACTAAATCCCAATTCGGTGTCTGCCTGAAGTATTGATCAAGAAACTGAAAGTAATAGAGGATTCGGTAAGCTATCAGAACAAACGCAGGACAGACAAAAGTCAAGAAGGCAACCGTCCGCAAAATCTTTATGACCACAGCTGCTATTAACAAGTACAGTATCGGTAATTTGTTTCCGCCACGTATTTTGGCAATCTGTTATAATTTGTAGCTTCTTACTTTTGGCTATTTCCCCATGAAATCTATACCACTGTACATGGACAAAAATGAATTCATCCAAAAATGTCGAATCTCCTGAGCATACTCCTAACAGTCCACAACTTCTACCGCGAATCCGGTTCAAAATATGGGTAAGCGTCAAAGAGGAACGAATTTTCTCGGGTCATTTGTTCCACAGGTTGTTTAGCAACCTGAGATGCGAATTATAAGAGAATCTATGCAATACTGAAATAATAACCAAACCAAGGCATAAAGCCTATAATCGTTTAATGAAACAAGCATACTTATGCTTTCTCTTGAAGATGCGCGTAACTTCTAGAACAGCATTGAAACAGCTATGAGAAGGGCCGTTTTGTCGCGTAGCTTCGTGACTGATTTATTTGCGACGATTCTAAACTTTATTATAACTCATATGTTGATACAAATTGTAATTGAAGGACAAGGATTCACACGTAGCGACTTATTATTTCTATATCTCCTTGATAGTATTCCAGATTGACAAGGCAAACAATTTAATGACCTCTTATGAAATCATGTTTTTTCATATAGTTTGGGAAGAAACGACACATTCACAGTAGTTTTCCTCATGAAATTCGCCGAAAACATTAGTGGTGAGTATACGGTGAAAAAGGTAGTTGCAGGTCTACGAGCTATTCCGAACGTCGATGAAAATTCTGTCAGAGTTACTGGTAATTGATCTATAAAAGCAATAGTATGTTCTGAATGTTTTCTGCAGAAGTAATAATTTCCACTAC